TATATATATATATATGTATGTATGTCTGCAGCTGATGTCTCCGTGTGTGTCTCACCTGCAGCAGAGCCCAAAGGCAGAATCTGAGGATTTGATTTTAGTCTGAAAATTCCCTCAAACTGTGAAAAATGATCCGACACAAAGTGAAAGTCACGGCGGTGAACCCAGGTGAGTTTCTGGAAGTCTCGTCCTGCAGCGTTTACTCGCCTCCGCTGATATTCAGCCCACGCAGCTCTCTCTCCTCAGCCTGAAGCTCGCCCCTCCCTCACTCTCCTCCTCCTCTTCCTCAGTGGGCTGCGGTCACGATGCCTCGCCGACACATCGCTCCAGCTCGTTTCATTCAGGGCCGAGCGAGTGTTTCGTGGCACAAAGAAATCATCGGTGCCTGTCGATGAATTTAACACGTTTGTTTAATCTGAATCCTGCAGCATTCAACGTTTATTCAAAAACAGCAGCAGCTTAGACCCACACCCCACAGTTTCAGTCGGTCACATGGTGATCATGTGTAAGTGCTGAGGAGTTCTCATGCATTATGAGACAGCGGCAGAGACTGTATATAAAAGATGGCGTCACCTCATCCCATTGTGAAGCGTTTTGACCAAAATACTTTTAAAACTGATTGTGAGAAACTGAATGATGCTGATGAGCCTGAATTATTCTTATTTTCTGACTGCAGTGGGGCCAAAATTACTTTCACGTTTTATTCAATAAGGCTTGAAACCAGCGACTCAGATCATCATTTTCTCATAGTCAGACTTGTAGCCAGAGCTGGTCTGTGTTCTCGCCACACTCTTCCACTGGAGATTTCAATTTGGCTGTGGGCACGTGTACTGGCCACCTGTGCAGGTTGTACTTCGCCCAGTGAAGCCTTCAGGGCCCCGCCTCCTCCACACAGTGAACACCCCACTGTACCACAAGCAGCTGCTCAGCAGGGAGTCAGCATCAGTACCTTTGTCCAACCCTCTAAATCTAACCTTACACAAACGTTTTCTCACCGTTACTCTGAGCTCAACCTAACCTGATTAAAACCTTAATCTTACTCTAACGTGACCCTTACCTAATTCTGTTTGTGTAACACTGCAGGTTATGTCCTCCCAGCACGAGTAAAAGATGCGCTAATGTGTTTGTCCAGTCTCACCTCAGCTGCATGACTCATCCACTTTACTTTCTTGCTTTTATTCAGTCCCATTATGATGACATCACTCCGAATCCATTTCATTGCAATGACCTCATTGTTGGTGACATCATCTTACGGCCTCAGAGGTGATGTCACCTCTTCCAGTTATTCTGCTGCTGTTTGTCCTCAAAAGCATCCTGCAGAACTGGCCAGAGCCCCGCCTCCTCTGTTCCCGTCACATCTATTCTATTCTATTCTATTCTATTCTATTCTATTGCACTGCTGCAAACAGCCTCATTTCTGTTCTGCAGCAACACCTTAGTGCTCAAATAAAAGCACAATGTGTTATTGTTTCTGCTGAATCCATAACCCGATTTTACATCAGACACACACACACACACACACACACACACACACAGAAGGTGTGGCTCTGAGCACTCTCAGCTGATTGGCTGCAGATGACATCATCAGTTGGGATGTGGAGGTTTCTCCTTCTCCTTGTTGCTGCAGCCTCTGGCTCACCTTGTCTCCACACACACACACACACATACACACACACACTGCAGATGCATTACATCATCTGGTTCAGAGTTGGGGGCAGCTCGTGAGAACATTATGTTCTGCTGCAGTGCATCATGGGAGCTGGAGTTCAGTCCTTCAGTGGTCACTCCCAGGTCATTTTCTGTGTTTTATTGAACCACTCTCATGTGACTAAGATTAAGAGATTAGATTAGTAACCTTGCCCACGGTTTTTGGGCTCTTTAGTCTTTATTCAGACAGGACAGCGGAGCGCGCTCGGGGGAAGACACAATAAATGCCCTCAGGAATCAAACTTGGCTTCTGTCGAGCGTTTGGGTCACATGCTCCACCCTGTTCGTGATGCTGGCGTCACTCTTGACTGACGCTGGGTCCGTTTATGCGTTTCTTTTCTGCGTTTGTCTTGGCCCGTCGGGAACCCATGGATATTTTTGGATGCTTGGGAATTCTCAGTGTGACGTTGAGAATTCCCAAGCATCCAAAATCATCCAAAAGCATCTCAATACAAGCAGTGCCCCCTAGTGGTGAAAGTTTAACTTGGCTTCTGCAGCGGGTAGCTGCTAAAATGACCTTTCAAAGCTGACGGTGCAGCTTACGCTCCTGCTGCTCGCCTGCTATCCACAAATATTTCCATCTGAAGCAGGTGCTTTCCTGCCGCGTGCCACATGTCTGTGTGAAATATCCTCACATGCCTCCCCCCAAATTGCACCTTGTTTGGACTTGGCCCAAAGCATGACTGATCGATCAGAACTGTCTGCAGCCTAATCGATGCTGAAAGCGGTTCGAGACGTGGATGTGCGAGCTGTCTTCTCTGAACTCCATCGCTGTGGGTTTGTCCTGCGAGCGGAGAGCGGCAGACTGTTTGGCTGCGAAGCTCGGTGACAGATGGAGGCGTTGAGCTCAAGCACAGATTTGTGTTTGTGTGCCGAGGATGAGTAACGCTTCTTTGTCAGCCGGTAAATTTAGCGCTGACATTTCCTCAGAAGCACGCCGACCCAGCAAACTGGATCAGACCGGATCAAAGCAGAGCCGGCTCACCTTACACTTCATCTCCACATGTTCTCTCGTTAATTCGCCCAGCAGCACATGTATGTGGGAGGATTTTCATCCTGAGGCCTGGAGTGTGCCTTCATGCTTTTTCTGCATAAAGAATCATCCCTCTGCAGCTCGCTACCAAGGGTCAAAGGTCATGTGATGTTAACAAGCTGCTGAAAAGTTGTTGAAAATAAATCCAGAGTTTGTAATGTTTAGGTGTTTCCAGCATTTTCTGCAGGAAAACCAATATTTGTTCCCAAACTGCATTCAGACTGCAGTCTGTCAAAGTTTGAAGAAAACGTTAGCCACCTGTCCATCAGGGAGGCCACGCCCCTGATAATGCAAAGCCACAGGTGGGCCCCTCAGGGGCCGGTGTCCTGCAGGTTTTAGATCTCACCCTGGGTCAGCGCCCCTGAATCTAATGATTAGTTCATTCCCAGGCCCCTGGAGAACTTCAACACATGTTGAGGAGGTCATTTAGACATTGAAATCAGCTGTGCTGGATCAAGGACACGTCTAAAAGCTGCAGGACTCCGGCCCTCGAGGCCTGGAGTTCCTCCACCCTGCTTTAACCCTCAATACAGTTTAAACAGGTGAGTCATAAAAACATCCTTCCCCCCACCGCCGGAGCCTCGTGACCTCAGAAGTACTTCTGACTTGGTAGAGCTGTTTAAGTTAGAATCAAATGACCATTGACCTTGCAGAACTCTGTCGCCTCATGGTGCATGCAGCACATGCAGATACAGATCTTATTTTAATAAACACGGTGACTGAAGGCTCACCTCTGTCCTGCTCCTGTGGACAGAGAATGTCCCTTTCACATTAAAAGCATTAATATTTTTGCTTGTTTCACGTCTTTTTTTTTTTACATTTTTGCCTCTTAGAAGAAAGATTTTATCTTTTTAAAACCGCCTGAATGTTTTCTGTGTTGTTGTCGGGACTCGGCCTCTCGGCCTGTGCTGCTGCTTCCATGAAGCCCTTGTTGGTGCTGCACACATGAAATCCCAGGAAAGTTGATCGCTGCTTAATTTCAGTTGATTTTTCATCTTTAACACATTAATGTTTCTTTCAGTAAGTGACAAAGTTTGTCCTCCTGATTCTGATGAAGAGCTTTCAGTTACTGGTCAGGAGGTTTCCTCTGAAATAACCCAACACCACCTCCTCCTCCTCTCCTTCTCCTCCTCTGCCCTGCTGGACCAATCGCGGCCCAGCATCCCTGCTGGCCAATCAGAGGGCTGGTGGGTGATGTCATGTATTGGGCTGCTGTGTGGTGGTGCTGATGCTGCTGAGCTGCAGATCTTCAGTGTGAACAGAGAAGAGCTGGAGCGAGCATCGCTGCAGGGTGAGTGACAGATCCACTCGTTCACCCCACACTGATTATTTCTATTATTATTTTTTTTACATTTTCTGCAGCTCAGAGCAGAAAGATGAGGCGATAAAAGCAGATTTCTCGGCTGTGACTCGATTTCTTTGTTCCTGCATTTGTTCCTCTGCAGTTTCTCTTCATCTCTTCCTCCTTTCTCGCTCTCATGCATCCTCTCCTGCGTATTTTCTCTCCATTTTCTTCTTCAGTTTTTGTTTCGTTCGGTTTGCTGTTTGAGTTCAGCTCCTTCATCTCTGCAGAAGGCGATGCGCTTTCTGGCAACAATGACATCATCGCTGAGAGCATGCACACACACAGACTCACAGATGCACGCAGTGACACACACACACACACACACACACACACAAAGTTAGGACGTTGTGTTTGCGTTTGCATTTAAATTTTGCAACAAATTCATGTTTTTAATCAATTTCTGCAGAAAAAAGCAAATGTAAACATAAATATGCCTCCTCATTTACAAAGTAGAGCTTTGCTGCTTTTCTCCGTTTACTCTCTGAATCTTTTTGCCTTCTTATGTTTAGAATTAGAAATGCAGTTTGTGGAGATAAATGTTGGTATTTTCTTCATTTTCTGGGCTGCAGACGTGAAATGATCAAATGCAAATAGCTTAAAAGATGAACTTGTAGTGAAAGATGAATCTTAAGCAGGCTTGGATAAAAGCTGGAGTTGACTTTGAAATTCAAATGATTTTCATGCAGTTTGTAATTTGCTGCAGTGACTGAGTAACATCGTGTTTACCAGGCTTTCAGAACAGATCAGAGTTTATCTGCAGGAAAGTTCAGATAACATCGTGTTTGCTGTGGTTTCATAACAGATGCAGACAAAACTACAAATACAACCATAGTCTGCCTTTAAATCTTTACATTTCTTAGAACTGTGGAGGTCAGTGTGAATCCGAGACAGATCTGTAGAATCTCTCTGTAAAGCCTTACACGGAAGAAAGTGATGATGTTCCTGCACATGTGATCTGAATGATCTTTGATGAGGGAACAGCAGAAAAAGCTGCTGAGTTTTTGTTTCTGGGGCACACTGAGGGTTTCTCTCTGCAACGGCGGCTTCGCTTCGGAGGCCAAAGCCCGAGCGGCTCCTCGTGTCTCTGCTGCTGATTCATTCGTCACACTGAGTGGATTATTTTAAGCTCCCGAAGCAAATCAGTGGCAGGTGTCGAATCTTCTCGTGTGAATGACTCACACGAGCCGAGAAAAGCTGCATCGTGAGCAAAAGCTGACCTTTAAATCGAATCGATGGCAGAGATATTCTTAGTGTGTGAACCTGAGAAAGCAAAATGACACTGAATCACAGCGGACGAGCGAGCTGCGGATGAAACAGCAAGAGCAAAGATGCGGCTCGTGCAGGGTTTGATGTTTGTGTTGCTGCCTGAGAGGCATTGTTGTTCATCTGCTTCCACTGATTAGATGTGTCTCTCTGCAGGAACAGACTCTACCTCACCACAGTGTCTTTGACTGAGAACAGCAGCAGCAGCAGCAGGATGACTCTAGCAGGTAAACGACTTTTCTTTTTGCTTTTATCTCTCAGTCCTGTCTGCAGCTTTTCTTTATATCTTTTCCCTCTGAATGTTCCAGCTTACAGGGAGAAGATGCGAGACCTCCCCCTGGTGTCTCTCTTCTGCTCCTGCATCCTTCCCGAGCCCAGAGAGCCGGCGGCCGACAAGAAGGAAGGTCAGTAGCACAAAGTCGCCTTTGTCCCGCAAGACAGGAAGTAACGGTGTCCTGCTAAAAACAGTCACAATGTCTGCAGTGAAAAAGGACTACAGATTCAGGCTCAACCTGTCTATGAGCTACAGCAGGAAAGACGATGCTGAGGCTGCTTTTAGTTGGTCATACCAGTAAATGAAACCAGAGAATGATATGAAATGTAAATAACACAAAATATTTACCCAAAAAGCTGCAGGCTGAACCTTTCGAGGCTGAGCTTTCTCTGAATGGAAACACGTTTATATTCAGTGTTGAATAAATCATCAAATTTTGCGATGTACAGTTTATCAACCAGCCCATTAATGAGTCATAAAAATCTGAATCTCATGCACTGGGAGCTCTGGTCAGAGCACCTGTGAAAACCAATTTTTTAAAAGTTGCAGAGCTCAATCGGTCCATGTTCGAGGAAGATGTACAAAACAGTAGTTTAGCGTAAATCCCAACAACGAAGTCAGCCAAATGAAACCATAATAACCACGGCTTCTTTTCATCTCACCGCCTCATCCTCTCTCTGCAACTGCAGGCGTGGTGGACTTGAACCTCTGCAGCATCCGGGACATGGAGGTGATCGAACTGAGCAAGCGAGCGAGTGGCCAGGCCTTCGAGGTCATTCTGAAGCCACCCACCTTCGACGGCGCCCCCGAGCTCAGGGCCACGACACCGCCTCGCCAGAAACCATCGCTGGCGGAGATCCAGAAGAAACTGGATGCTGCTCAGGAAAGGAGGAAGGTGTGTATGTGTGTCAAAGTAGTAGGTGACCTAAAAGTGTTTAAGGTCATAAATTTGACGTTTTATTTAAAAACATTTAAATATTTTTAATGTGTGTAACATTAATTAATTGATGTTTAACAGTTTTGCTCGTATTGCCTCTTGGACAAATTAAAATGTTGACCTGATTTGGTCTCACTGCGATAAACAAGTTAGTACAGTTCACGCTAAGGAGAACAAACATATGAAATGCACAATTTATGGAAATTCTTCAAAGAGTTTAAGAGAAATGTCAATAAAAACAGAGATGTGAGGCTCATAGAGTCAGTAGTCAGACAGAGTCACCCTCAAGTCACTATGAATGTCTGTGCAGTTTTAAATTGCAGTCCATCCAGATGTTACTACAAAAATTAGGGGCCCTAAAATCGAACTCTGAGGAACGCCACAAGTTCTTTCAAATTGTTCTACGTGTCTGTTCAGACAAATGCATTTCAAGATTTTTGAGAACCCTGCATCAGTGTAAAGGGATGAAACTCAGTAACAATCTTCCCTCTGACTCGCTCTAGTGTCAGGAGGCGGAGCTGCTGAAGCACCTGGCCGAGAGGAGGGAGCACGAGCGGGAAGTCGCTCAGAAAGCTTTGGCCAAAGAGTGTCAGGAGCATCGCGCCACCGCCAACATGGAGCAGCGGCAGATGCACCTGAACGCCTCACAGGAGAGGCTCCACGAGGAGGTGAGGACCACGGTTTTACACTGCGAGATGTTACCTTCATTTACTAAAAATAAAATCGGAACTCTGGAAATAAATCACTAAAAGGAGCCTGTGTGGTTTCTGTTTGTGTCTTTCAGGACAAGCACAGCGTGGAGGTGAGCACGGCTGAAAAAGAGTGAATCTGGGTAGAAACTGTGAGACAAAAGTTTTTATTTTAATCTCTGTTGCTTCTTCTGGGAGAAAAACCAACTACAGAAACACTATAGACTCAAATAACACAGTTTGCAGTAGCAAACATGCAGTCAAACCAAGGCTACGTCCACACGTACACGGGTATTTTTAAAAACGGAGATTTTCCGTTTTCGTTTTAAAAAATAATCCCGTCCACACGTAAATGCAAAAATGAAGGAAAACGCTGCTATGAACATGCCAAAGCAACAGGTGGCGATATATTCCTACCCGTGCAGAAATGTTGGCCAATCAGAAGTCTAGAAGCCTCGGTGGGAAATAGTAAACAAAGCTGGGGCTTAGAAGCAGAACCGAGTCGTATGTGTGGAGGGACAGTAACTGTGTGTGTATGTAAGCATTTAAACACTGCAGAGAGTAGAATTACAACAGTAACAGTATTGTAGAAATTCATTTCACTGAAACAATAACGTGGCGCACAGTGTGACGTCAAAAAAGGCGCACACCTTTGACGTTTTCTCCGTTTTCCTCGTCCACACGTAAACGCAAACACGGAGTTTTCGAAAATCTCCACCCTGGCCGGAGTTTTTAAATATCTCTGTTTTCAGTGACCAAAAACGCCGTTTACGTGTGGACGAAAGGTGCAAACGCATAGAAAAATCTCCGTTTTCTAAAAATACCCGGGTACGTGTGGACGTAGCCCAAGTCATTGACAGTTCACGTTTATAAGCTACCAAAACTGCAGCATGGTGATAAAAATTCTCTTAAAAGATGGAAAAACATGACCAAGATTGGTCTGAGTAAAAACTCTAACAAGGTAAAGGTGAAGTCAAAACATCAAAGTCAAGACTCAAAGATAGAAGTTTGAAAACAACTCGTCAAACTTGAGACTCGTCGAAACACCCGGCACTGTGATACAGACAGACACAGTTCACGAGGAAGGAACGTTCTGTAACGAGGAGGAGTAACCTATTCGTTACTGAAATGAGTTAACAGGTAGAGGTTATTTAGTTAGAAATGTCAAAATTCTTCTAATAGCACAGGGTTGGGAAGGAGCTGGGTTTGGGATACTCGGAGAGAAACTGAGGCAACATGAATATCTGATGGTCGTTGTTGGGATATTGTGGTTGAGGTGAAACCTTTCAAAACAGAAGCGGTGGCCCTAAAACCATGAATTATTTTATAATAACTTTTTTAAGACTGAAACAATGATCTCTTAGCCTTATTTCTGATTGCAGTGGGTAACAGTGTGATGCTGTGATCCAATTTTAACATAACAGCCGCCTGAGTAAGAGAGACAAGCTTAAAGGAACTTTTGGGGGGTTCTGATAGCATAGAGTTAGCGATGAGTGGGTCCCTGTTATAGCAGTCCATTTAATAGCTACTATTGTAGAGTCTTTACCTTGCCTTGAGGCGACTGCTGTTGTGATTTGATGCTATAACAATAAAATTGAATAGAAATTGAATAGTTGTTGGATCTCTGAAGAACGGCAGAACAACTTTCAGACAGGTTTCTCATTGTGATTGTCAGAGCTGCCGTTTTTGACCAACCACAGTGAGACTGTGACATTTCGTCTCTTAACATCCACTGGGTCACCGATCACTCGTTCAGCGTTTGATTTGGGTTCTGTTTGAGTCACGTGCTAAAAAGCAATGATGTAACCTTTCAAAAAAAGCCTTGTTCAGTTATTTTGGCATGAAAGGTTTTCAATGTGGCATTTCCAGACTGTTCTAAACACTGAATGAGTGTTTGGACAGTAACCAAAGTCAAACCCTTAGATTCACATGTAACAGGTTACCTGGAGGATGTGAAGAGGAGAGAGCAAAACTAACAAAATAATTGCAATTTGCAGATATAAAGCAGTTTTACTTTTACTGGATCTAAAGGTTCTAGACCAGCGGTCTCGAACTCCAGGCCTCGAGGGCCGGTGTCCTGCAGGTTTTAGACATCACCCTGGGTCAACACACCTGAATCAAATGATTAGTTCGTTACCAGGCCTCTGGAGAACTTCGAGACATGTTGAGGAGGTCATTTAGCCATTTGAATCAGCTGTGTTAGATCAAGGACACATCTAAATCCTGCAGGACACCGGCCCTCGAGGCCTGGAGTTCGAGACCCCTGGTCTAGACCAAACCAGAAAAAGGTGCCAGAGGTACAGAAATGTGTTTAGTGAGAGCCTGTAGCTCATATCCCTGCAGGTTTTAAGCTTTTTAATATCTTCACCTCCTCCTCTTTTAAATGTGAGTGTTTGTGGTAACAACAACCTCCTGTTCTCTGCTCCCAGGTGTCTTGATGGCCTGATCACAACACAAGCTGAACCTTATTTGGAAGCCATTTTGGAGGGCTGATGAGCTGATATTTGATGTGCCGGGATGCTGGTGCTACTCCGGCGCAGAGACTGACAGGAAGTAGCTCTGAAAAGAGTAAGAGAAGAAGACGATGAGGAGGGCAGAGGGCAAGACCGACTGCACAACAACTCCTCTGTACAACCAGGACTCTCTTTAACAAGACGAACTCTTTATAACGAGACGGACGCTGCAGATTCAGTCGTCATTAGATGGTTTGAAGGGGTTTTACTGTGCTTTGTTTCCATGCCAACGGTGCCAATGTGCTCATGTGTGTGTGAATGTGTGTGCCTATCAACCTAACATGAACCAGATCCATCCCCTACGACTAAAAGGAAACCTTCCTCTCGGACTTTGAACGTCAAAATTAACTGAAATGAAGGATGCGTGGAATTACAGCTGATCTCAATCAAACAGCGCCATCTGCAGGATCGTTTAAATCATTGCATGTGGCTCTTTAGCGACATCTAGTGGCATCTGTAGGTATAAAATAAGCAGCAAGCAGATCCATTTTGACCTTTAGGATTAGAGTCAAGATCACTGAAAGTGAGTCCAAGACGAGTTAGTGTTTCTGAGGTCAATTTAAGACAAACATCAGCAAAAATAGAGCTGAACTTAGTCGTAGAGGTGAGATTACCAACAATGAAATCACCGCTACACAGGAAGTCAAACCACACCCTAAAATCCCCAAACCAAAACAGCGCTGCCCTCCAGGGCAGCTCGTTTCACCCGCTCTTTTCCTACTTTTAAAGGCAGAAGTTCTAGGCGCTGTGCAGGGGTGGAGACATCACATCTTTGCTGTTTCACAGATGATGTGGTTTGGATCGCTCAGACTCGGTGTCTCTGGATATTTGTCATTAGTGAGGGAAGCGTGGCGCAGGAGAGATTGACTCCCAGGTTCTGTTGTGATGATGAGAGAGAGCTGAGCGTCGAGGCGAAGCCGTCAGTCAGTCTACGCTCCTGCACTCACCGATGGCCCCGAGCGGAGTGTGGCGACCGAAAGAGATGAGGGGGTGAGGACCTCAGAGTAGACTCACCCCAAAAAGAGTCAGCTGAGGTGGTTGAGCATCTGACCAGGATGCCTAATGGGCGTTTCCTAGATGACCTGTTTCCTCCTGGGCGTGTCCTACAGGGAGGAGACCGTCTGCGTGTTTGGAAACACCTCAGTGTCCCCCAGAAGAGCCAGAGCTAGCCGGGAAGAGTGAGCGCAACCAAAAGATTAAGACAAATCCAACCGAAGTGCGGGTTTTTCTGTTTCAAACTTTGCCTTTAGGTTTGTTTCCCACCAGTTATGCATCTCTTTGTCTTTCCTGTGTGAAATGGACGCGACACAACGCTTCTGAGACATCGGTGGTGTTTGCTGCACCCTGCTGCATCGAATGAGTGACCGGACCGACGTGTGTACAGTGTTTACAGCTGCTTATCACTGCAACATCATTGTAAAGGATTATGATATGATGATGATAATGTACAGAAATCACATTATATTTTAAATTCAACAATAAAACAGTCACACTTTACTACTTGGTTCAGGTTTTTTATTGAGTCAGATTCTGGATTATAAATACATTAAGAGTCAATAAATATCTACTGAAGAGCACAAAATACTTAAATAAAACAAAATTAAATTACTTTAAACCATAAATAACAGAAAGAATATGAAATAAATCTCTGCTTTTAAATCTCAGCTACAGTGTGCGTTTGGTTGTGTAGTTTCTCCCATTTTCTATTTCTGGAGTAAATGTGAGCTGTTTATTATTAATAATAATAATAATAATCGCTGGAAATATACATAAAACAAAAAGATGGCAGGTTTAACGCTAAGCAGCATTTCACTAAGTCACTGAGATGAAACAGCAGACTGAAGTCAGTCTGTTGGTCATCAGCTCGTCATTCATTTAAATAAACGTACTCTGACAGATATAATTATTTAAATTAGATATTATCAGATTTTTGTCGCTTTTGTCGGATTTTCGTATTTACATGCAGGTAATTCTGCATTTTACATGTATGGACCCCTAATTTCGTTTTCTCTCGACATTCCCGGTCTTCCGTACATGAGCCCGTTTTGCTGGTCCTCATTGCTGGATTCGGACCACAGGCTTGACACAGGTGCAGCCCACCGAGATGAGGCGGGACTCCAGGCGGTAGTGGTAGTCTGCCGACCCTTCTGGCCTGATGCGCCGCAGCAGCAGCACCTGGTGCATGATGGGTCTGGACTCCAGGTTCCGGTCTTCCTGGCCCTGTAAGTTCAGGCAGCCCTGCAGCAGGCAGTGAGCCTCCGACAGGAAGGGAGGGAACAGAGTGTCGTCGGTGGTGACGCTGAGGATGGAGAAAGCGAGGGGACAAAAGATGATTAAAAGAGCTCTGTAAGCCCCGTGATTAAAGGGCCATGCCACAGTTTGTCACTCACTTGTACGTCCATGGCGAGATGGAGGCGTTGTTCAGCAGCCTGGTGTGTCTGTGGGTTTCCAGAGTTTTGGCGTCCAGCTGCAGGGAGACTGTTTCAAGCGTTGCACCATGCTTGTGTGTCCTTCCTGTCTTCGGCATGGCCGCTGCCTCTGTGATCATCATCATCATCATTATTGCCACGACACAGGCGGCCTGAGGAAAAGAAGCCACAAAACGTTTATGGTCCCCATTTTCAGATAACGTCACTGTAAAAACTTTTTCTCAGTTTTCAATGAGATACTGCAAAATACAATTTCAAAATCCAGGGTTATCTATAGATGACACTTTATATTGTAAGCCTGCAATATCAGCGATAAAACCAGAGTGACCGGAGACTGTGGTGAGGAAGAACGTCATTTTAGCAGGAAGAGGCAGTAACGGAGAATTATTTTTTTTCATGAAATCAACACGTTTGTAAAACTTGTTCTTATGATGACGTAGCAGAGGACTTCCAGACAATGTCGTTTTTTAAGTGAATAAAATGTAAAATAAAAGAAGAATAAGGGACCAGTTGTTGTTTTTGTGGCACTGTTGCATTACATGAGTGTCAAATGGAAGTTTCTTGTGTTAATTTATCAGTAACCCCCTGAGATTGTGAAAAATAATCATGACAAACCATTTCAACATTTGCAAGTTGTATAACTACGTAATCATTTAATTTGGAGCTTCGATAAAGCTTTTAGTGGCGTCTCTAACAGCTAACACAGGCGAGCGTTTTCTTACCGTCACTTTGTTTGTCGCTGAAAACATGCTGCCGGGTTTCTCTTTTCGTTCTTCGGTCGGATGTTCTGGTTGTTTCGTTTTTGGGGTTTTTTCAGGTCGAGAAGATATTGGGTGTTTTTTTTAACCCTGGGGCTCTGCTGGAGGTTCAGGCTCTGCTGGAGGTTCAGGCTCTGCTGGAGGTTCAGACTCTGCTGGAGGTTCAGACTCTGCTGGAGGTTCAGGCTCTGCTGGAGGTTCAGACTCTGCTGGAGGTTCAGACTCTGCTGGCTCTTGTCAGAAAGCGGAGGGTCAGGCTATGGTGTCGTCTTCCTTCTTGTTTCGTGGTGTTCTGTGTGACTGCAACTCGGAGCTGCTCAGATTTTTATGGTGAATGACACCTCCTCTCATGATGTCACCTTCTTTTCTCTCTCCCTCTTCTTTGATCTTCATCTCTAAACCACACAGAATACATGACGAGGCTTGAACGTCGACCCACTTTCGCGTTCGATCTCGAGGTTAAAGTTTTTGGCACACAAAGAAAATTTGATGCAGATTTTTTTTAGGTCAGCTCATCCTCTGGCGTCTCAGGTCTTCACCTTAGCACACGATATGATAATTCTTCATACAATTAAAGTGCATCTGTTTAAACGCTTCAAGACAGCTGAACTTTCGGTGCTCTGTGCTAAAGGCCTGAATCGCCCACACAGTTCTCTACGCCACAATTGTTTAATGTAGTAAATAATCCTTTATTATTTACAGTGAAAGAGCCCAAAGCAACACGTGTTACTGTCTAAATACTGTACATGTACATTCAGTGGAATTATTGCTCCTGATATGTCGTCAGCATCTGATTCCTTCAGTAAATATTTTACATTTATCTCTAAACTGAGTTTCAGATCGTCCATCTGCAGTCGGCTTATCAGCCATCATCTGCGGTCGCCAGTCTTTACTATCAAAGAGCCCAGAAAGATCTTCATTTCGTGTTTTATATAATGTGGTAACAAGCAAAATCCAGCCCTTCAACAGTCCTTAACATGATTGTAGATGATGTTATCACACGTGACTCCTTTGAAGTGGCTTTTTTCGATTATTTGGTTCTTTACATTTGTATATTTGTTACAATACGGCGTCTGTGTTGTGTTTGTGACATCGTGGAGCTAAATTTACAGAGAATATTCTTGTTTTCATTGTCAACAAAGAAGCTACTTTGCAGACCAGTCTGAGTCCTACTCGTGTTTATGCAAAGGAATCAAATTAAAATAATGAGTGAAAAGATCAAAGTCTCGAGCTGCAGCTTGAGGCTTCACAGCTGTCTGCTTTATACAGAAATACCAACTTGTTTTAGTTTTTGCTCTTCATTTTTGTTTCATTGTCAGTTTTAAAATTTCATGTGTCAGAAATCTGAGTTCATAAAGAACCTGAAGATGATTCCTTTCTGTGTTCCTTGAGGCCCAACGTCAGGATCTGCAGATCTTCTAAGATGCTAGTTTCCTTCAAACTCCAAAGCTTGTTTCTGCCGCAGCACCCAGTGTGGTCTTCTGCTGCTTCAGCATTGACATGTCGTGCTTTCAGAGACCCTCCTATGCATATCTCAGTTTTAAGGAGTGATTATCAGAGTTGCTGTTGCCTTCCCTTTGGCTCAAAGCAGGGTGGCTATTCTCCTCCAGCATCAACAAGCATATTCACTCAGAGAACTGCTGCTCGCTGGATATTTGCCCTTTTCTGGACCACTCTCTGCAAATTGTAGAGAAGCTTGTGCAGGAAAATTCCAGCAGTCTCTGAAATACTCAGATCATAAACAAAAGAGAAGTGGACGGAGAGCAGAACCCTGTGGAACACCACTTTTAATGTCTCGGAAGGATGATTTTTAAATATTAACAAAACCGAAACTTTGAAGGATTTCATGTCAGTTTAGAAACTCAACATGTCTTTGTTTCTTTAAATCAAACATATCAAATCAAGCAAGAAGAGGTTAATTGTTAAATCTGAGTGTTAATCCAGTCTGACACACTTTGTTGCATCACAGCCTCCATAATGTTCCAGTATGACTGATGCAACAGTCCAGTGTGACATCACCTCATCCTGAGACCCCGTGAATCGTCTTCCTGCCTCACCTCCGCCGGAGTTTTGAGATGTGTGTTTTGTTGCGTTGCCAGAGCTGCAGCATCAGCCATGATTGCAGGATGCGAGCGCGCTTCAATCTCTGACCTGATTTGCAGTCGTGTTGTGACTCAGGCTGGTCTAAAGTGCAGCATCATCACTGTTTTCTTCTGTTTTCTTGCAGCCTACAGTATGTGACCTGGTTTGATTGAAAGCTTGATGTTTATCAGTAATTTTCTGCTTTCTGCATCACTTCACAGCCTCGGGATGCTCATTATCATCTTAACTTTGTTCTACATCTGTCAATGAAATGTTCACACGCCATTTAAGGTAAGAAAAGGGTCACCGCATTCGAAACTCGTATTTAAAAATCAACCTCACACCTCTTTCGTTTTTATTTTACCCGCAAAATGTAATTACTGTAAAAGAACATGGCCGGAGTAAATAGAAATAACACAACATGAATAAAATTAAAAATGAAGCTATAAACTACATGCTACTACCATGCAACGCTATCTGGATTTAATGTTATCTGTTTGCACCATTTAGACAGGCCTTATTCCTCTGGGGGAGGTGCTCTTTGTAACAATTACAGCTGATGCTGGGAAATCAGGAGCACACCATTATAAATATATAATGTACGTACATGCATCAATTTATCTGAAGGTGCATGTCTGTCATGCACTGCCTTTAAAAGTGCATGAAACAAACATTATGTGTTCAGGCTGTAACACATCGCACTTGACTTTTGCAGTTTCTGCTCTTGCACATCTCTTTAAGTCTCACAGCAGCTGTTTCACCAGTATGAACATTATGTCTCGAAAGCTTTGTGGGAAATTTCATGAAAAAGATCTCAGCATAGATAGCGTAGCTTCCCTGCATGATGCAGACTAACGTTTGCGATCTGTCACTTTTGGATTTGGCCTGAATCAGAGAAACTTGTGCTCTGGCTTCATGTTTCAGCTGTTGCATGGATTCAAACTTATAACAGAAATAAACTCTCATGCTAATGAAGTGCACCGGCTTCTCTTCGCACTCATCAAAGGCGTAGGCGACTCAGCCTCCATCTGCTCTGAAATCGTCTGCCTTCAATATCAACTTTCCGTCACCAAACAACACGTAGGAGGCCAAAATTCATTAGGACCCTCAAGTGACGTCTGTGGGTCGGATTTAAATCACATTTAAATCGGATTTATATCTGATTTGTCGCGTCACATCTTTTCTGCCACTGTCCGTGTCGAGTGCCTCGTATGGAAACGTGAGATAAAAAACAATTTGCACATCAACTAGCATCCGTCCCCTCTTTCTTTCAGCTTTTATGTGTATGCGTTGAGCAGCATGGTATAGCGCCCCACTATGTTGGAGCTGGTTTATGCTCATCACTACCATTGTTTTCCTTAAATGAAGTGGAGTTCAGGTTTCAATGTGTTAGATTTCACAAAAACGTGTAAATATTTCCACAGGCAACAATTTCTTTTCTGTCTTCATGAACACAGAAGATATTCAACTGATTGAGCTGATCCGTGTGAGTAAGCCTAGAGGTTTCTTCCTGTTAAAAGTTCTTCATCCCCACCTTCACCAAGTGCTGCTAACAGTGTTGGGGAGTAACAGAATACATGTACCGCCGTTACGTATTTAAAATACAAAATATGAGTAACTGTATTCTGTTACAGTTACCTTTTATAAAGGGAGGATGGACTGCCATACCCGTGATGTGTCTGTGAGCGAGGGAGGGAGAGAAAGGAAAAGTACGAGCTGTCACCGAGCAGAAACGGGAGCTGGAAGCATGTAAATATAATAATAACCACTGCAGCCAAACAGAGAGCCTGACGAGCCCAGCTGTAAGTAAGCTGTTAAGACTCTACTGTACACCGTGTTCATGTTTCCCTCTGAAACAATAAGCTTTGTTGGAGCAGCCTTTCAACGCCTCTCGCTAGCAAACTTGACCCAGACAACAAAGTAAAGCTAGTTTTCAGCTACGAGCCGACACGAACCCGACGTATCAGCCAGAGGTCCCTTTACTGCAGTTCAGAGCCGCGGACCTGTTTTATAAACGCGCGGAATAGTTTCTATACGAGATCACAGCAAAAAGTGCAGCCTTACCTAATGTCCACCTACTGTTACTCATTTATATTAAGATTTAAACATCCAGTTGGTGTTGGTGTGGAGAGTAACCTTCAGTAATAGTAATAAATCACACAGCAATAGTACATTCATGTAGTTGTAAAAAGCATGACAACATATTAAGTAATCCAAAGTATTCAGAATACGTTACTCTCATTGTGTAATGTAATGGAATACGTTACAAAATACATTTTGTGGCATGTAATCTGTAATCTACAGATTACAGTGTAGTGGAATACACTGGCTGCAATATGGGACCACTGGATTCTAAAATGTTTGATCTCATTGGGCTTCAGAACTCCTTGAATTTTAATCTCAAACAAGATTTTGGCTGTTCATGAATAAATGAGCGTGACTGAGTGATAGTGAAATGCTGCACCCATAGAACTCAAAGCAAAAAGCAAATCGGGTGCTCCCTCCATCAGCTGCATGCCTAATGAGCCAGCCCAGTTTATTGTGGTCTTGGTCAGTTTACTCAGTGTTTTTGAGTTTTTTACTCTTTCATGTTTCATGTATTGAAATATTCAGTATTTCTATTGTTTCGTGTATTTTTCCCCTCTTCGTGTATTTAGTCTGGGTCTTGGTCCTGAGTGGTTCTGGCATTTAATTCCTCTTTCAGTGTTGTGTTAAGTCTCCTGTATGAAGTTCATGCCTGTGTGTTTGTGTTCTTAATCATCTCGTGTCCTGCTTTGAAAGTTAGCGTTCCTCATGTTTTGCTTTTAGCTTTGCTTTCGTTGTCTCATCTTCTGTGATTTAGTTCAGCTACGCCTTTTTCTCTCCAGCTGTCTCCACTTCCCCAAACTGCTTTCCTGTGCCTTCATTCAATTCATTTCAATCTAC